AAATGCAGTTGCCCATCAGGGTTTGCTCATCCCCGCGTGGTCGGCAAGCAAGCGTCTTCTGCTTCAGCCAGGTACCCGAAGGCCTTTTGCGAGAAGTACGCGGAACTGCTCGTTGCGGCTTGGCTACAAGTTCCTGGCGAAGGAGACCAAGACGAGAAGGCGTCCGGGTCCACCCACGGCAAAGCGGAAGCGCGGAGCTGCAGAGAGCGACGGCGGCAAACGGACCGAGGGTATGGAGATGGTCGCCGAAGCGGAATGGCGTGGAGGCTCGGGACGGCGTGGAGCGCTCAAGCATCAGCAGTCAGCCAAGGATGCGCGGGACGAAGCGAACAAGGCGGCAATCGGTGGGCTTCGGTCCGTCGAGAAGCTTCCGGGTCTACGAGCCGTGGGTGCCGGCCTTGAGTACATCTTCGACAAGTTCGTCTCCAAATAGCCCGGCCTATGGGCAACCCAACTTCAAGCTAGGTCAAGCCGCGAGGAGACCGCCTGCGCCTCAAGAGCCTCCTCCACTACGAGACCCCCCTTAGAGGCAGGGGGCCCGGACAAGGCGGCGGTCGAGTGGCTAGAGCAGGGCTTGGCACCTGCGGCATTTTCCCGGGCCGGGAACGCGACGCGGACATGGACGAGGAGCGCCTCGGAGACGCGGAGTGCCTCCTTCCGCGACCAGCCGGACGCCCAGGCGGAGATCGAGGCTGGTGGGCAAGGGCTTTGTGAAGAGGGTCACGCTCGAGCAGGCCACCACGTACTTTCAGAAGCCCGTCTTCAGCAGTCAAGCAAAAAGCAGACGGGACGGTGAAAAGGCGGGTGATAGTAGATGCCCTGCGGTCAGGCGCCAATCAGATGGCCACATGCCCCGAAAGGATCGTGCTTCCGCGCTCCGCCGACATCCACTCAATGCTGGCCGTCATGAAGGCCCAGGAGACCGAGCTCAAGGACTGCTATCGCCGCAAAGTATGCCCCTGGTGGACGCCTTCACGCACTTCCCAGTGGCGGAGCAGGAGCTTGCGCAGTGCATTTCTCCGGAAGGCGACGGGCATCACGCATACGTGTTTGTGGCGCTCTTCTTCGGCCACAAGTTCAAGACGGCTCCGTTGCTTATGTGCAGGCTGTCGGCCTTGCTGGCGCGGCTCCTTCAGGGCTGCTTCTGGACGGCCGAGGTCACGCTGGGCTGCTACGTGGACGACCCGCTCTTCGCTCTTGTGGGCGCACGCCACCGTCGCCAGCGCAACCTCAGCTTCATCCTTCTGACGCTGGCAGCTTTGGGCATTGTGATCGCCTACCACAAAGGAGACCTGGGCGCGGCGCTGACGTGGATAGGCGTGGACTTCGAGCTTACATGGTTCCCAGGCACGCTGCGTGCGGATCCCGGACAAGAGCTCCTCCAGGCGCTCCGCGGGTGGTCCACCAAGGGCCTGGTGCCGGTGTCCGAGCTCAGAACGATAGCGGGCAAAGTCACGTGGGCCGCGGGAATTTACCCGCAGGCTCCATGCTGTGCAAGGTAGGCGACCACCAGGACGACGTAAAGTCGCGGGGGGGGAGAAGGCCAGGCGGGAGGCAAGGCGGGACAGTAGGCCCAAGGACTACTTGGTTCCAACTCGAAGTTGGCACTTCTACAGGCCAACCCCGTCACACGCAAACACTATGGAAGCTGCCGCCTTCAGTCATGATCATCACCGACGCCTCACCTCAGGGCTTGGGCGGCCTCGGCGCCGACGATGCAGTCACGTTGTGGTCGCATCGCTCCCAAAGCTTTCTGGAAACATTGGCGATCTGGCTGGCAATCAGAACTTGGCAGGACGTAGTGAAGAATATTCGCTTGGGCTTGACGGTCAGAAGTGACTCCTCGGCGGCACTCGGCATCACGGGCAAGCTTTCATCGTCTACGCCGGCCATGAACGCGCTCGCGGGCGAGATCGCACTCCTCCTCGAAGAGCTGCAGGTCGGCGACCTCACGACCCAACACGTTCCCAGCAAGTTGAACAAGATTGCCGACTGGCTCTCCAGACCTCAGACTCGAACTTCTGACGAGAGACCCCACGAGTTGGACAACGTGAAGGTCGTGCCCGTTGCCAGGCTCACAGCCTCGGACTTTAAAATCCTAGGTGCCCGGGTGTCACATGACGCCACAACGGCGGTGTCGACTGCCTGGGCAGCCGTCCTGGGATGACATGCTAAAAGGTCCGTTGTTCACATCAGGCACTTGCGTCGTGACACGCGGTAAGTATGCACCAAGCATGTTCACGCAGTGTTGCCCGCTAGCATCGGCCGCCTCCAAGCATGGAGTTAGTGGTATCTAGCCACTCAGTAGGCGAACCCTGGCTCAGCACAGGTGCACAAAATTGGGCATGGCTCCTCTTGGCAGCCTGCTGCGCGCGGACGGCGCTCACCTTTCCATGGCTGGCGCCGCGACTACTCTTCTGCGCGGCGAAGATCTCGTGAAGGCGCTGATGATGGCGGCGCGGACAGTCTGGAGCTTGGCTTGGGGGGCCACGGCACGTTCAAAGCAGGCAAGGCGGCCCTAGCATTCATGATCCAGAGGGAGCACGTGGAAGCAGTCGACAACGCAGAGGCCGCAGCCCAGCAGCAAGTGCGAGACACCCAAGTCGGGGTCTGACATCGCTCTCTGGAAGTACGAGGTCAGGCGCGACTACCACGGAACCAGCAGGCGACTCGGGCCTTCAGCGGCGCGCTCCACGCCTTCGACAAGGCCCACAACACCGGACGACAAGATCACGGCAGACGTTGCAAACAAATATACATCGCGGCTCCGCCACCAGGCCTGGTGAGAAGCTCCCCTACTGCAACGCCAAGAAGGACCTACGGACAGCCCAGTTCCCGGACCACCCGGGCCGGGGGTGACAACGGCAAGCTCAGCCTCCTTTGGATGGGCTCCCCAGCATTCCCGCAGATCAGGTGGCCTCAACATGGGTGGCTACGTCCAGTCAGGACACGGCTCGAGGATCGACAAGGCCATAGACAAGCTCCTGGGCAAGGCCACACCGACATTCTGGCGTGCTCCTTCGGCCAGCCAGGCGTCCAGAAGACCTACGCGCGCGTCTGCTACCTCCTCGATTGCATCAACGGAAGCGCCGAATGACGAACCCCGAGCTTCAAAACCTGCAGGCAGAGGCAGCAAGCTAGAAGTGGCTCTGCGGGCTTCGTCGGCGTTCGACCTGGAGCAGGCCGTCAGGGTTCTCAAGCAGGGCTTCTTTGCGGAGTCGAATCAAGCGCCCAGAGAGCAAGAAGCGGAGCGCCTTTTACAACCCGTGGTCAAGAGGCCGGACCCTTTCCTGCTCACCACCTCGTCTCTGGTGAAGTGCGCCGCGTCCCTGAAAGCGGCCGGATACAAGTCGGCCAGTGCTTACCTGGGTGTGCTGAAGCTCCTGCACGTGGAGAAGGACTTCCAGGTTGGCCCAGCTTTGCAGAGGACGTTCGACTTGTGCAACAGGGCTCTTCGGAGGGGACAAGGACCTGCAGCAAAGGCGCCAGAAGTGCAGCTCGCTTCCTTCAGCACTTCGGGCAAACAAGCCAACCTTTGGGAAAGGTGGCGTTTCCTTTCCTTACCTACGCCCTGGCGCTCAACTTCATGCTTCGGCGCCTCGAGCTGGGGATGCTGAAGGTGAAGGACGTCCAGGTGGCTCCGGACAAGTCCACGGTCACGATCTTCATCAAAGGGTCGAAGATGGACCAGGCGGGTCACCTCGAAGGTGTTCTGCCCGGTGGAGCTAGCGCGCGACCTCTTGGCGTCCCCCTACAAGACGTGGCCAGCTACTCGTGATGACCCTGAAGCCTGGCTCGTTCGCACGACTGAAGGCGAGCACGCCACGAAAGCCACGGTGGTGTCCTCCTGGGCTATGGCTGCCGGCACGGCTATCCAGGGTCATTCGGCGAGGAGATCGGGGGCGCTGTACTACACGAGAGCCGGCGCCCCGGTCCCGGAGATCACCTACCTGGGCAGGTGGCACAGTGATCTGGTCTTCGAATACGCGGAAGAAGCTTGGGCTTCTAGACCCTGCAACATGGAGCTGCAAGGAGAAGAAATCTTTGACTTCGCAGTCAAGGCCGACTCAGGCACCCTCCGAACCACCTCCAACGGCTCCCGCCATCGAGGACCTGGCAATGACTAAGCCCAAGTACGTGCGCAGCTATGGAAGGAGCACCGTGGCCCACCTCCTCCAAGATTCGGGGCTGGCATTTTGCTAGGGGTTCTACCCACTTTAAGCTCTTGGCCAACATCACTTCAGACCTGAGACGTTGCAGGAGGTGCAGATCCGGACCCATCGATAGCACGCGGGGAGCCAGTGGGCAGGAAATGGGCGTGCGTCAATGCACAGAATCTGGACCCGAACGCAACGGGAAAAAGTGACTGCTCTCTGCACCTTTCTTCAGGGTGGAGGGTGGGTTCTGAGCGGCTAAATGTCCATGTCTTGGACAGCCCCCTCGTGCGGATTTTACACGAGCAATTTGCCTAGTAGAGCTATAGTCTAAACTCCTCAAAGGAGGGGTTTATAGAGGCGGATTATACAGGGGGGTATGCAAGGGGTTATGAAGGGGATGCTAGGAGTTTAGGCTATAGCTCAGATGAGTCTGCTGCAGAACTTGACTAGTGGTACAGAGCCAACTGGGTGAGGTACAGACACCTCGGCTTGCATGAGCACCTGTGCTGAAGTATGCAAGGTGAGCTCTTAAACAAAACGTGACGAGTTGGGAATGTGCAAGTCTTTCTGCGCAGGGTTGAATATCATGTTACAAAGAATCTCCCAACATGCCGTCATTCCCTGTTCACTGTGAGCCAATCAGAGTTAGCGCCCTCAACATGTCCCCCAAGCTCCTGACAAGAACCAAGATTGTAGTGGGGGTCTAGTAGAAAAGCCGTGATGAGTCAAGGAAGCAGCATGGACAGCACAGCCACCCAACGCCCCCAGAAGTGAAACAACCCTAGAGCCCAACCTGTGGGGCAGAACGAAGAAGAATCGAAGCGCGTTTTTTTGCACTGCGAGGCTAGCTTGGCCTTTGCATTGGTCTTCGTGATCGTGTGGGTGGGCTCAGGCACCCTCCCAGCAGAGAACTTCGAGTAAGGCTTCAGTAGAGTTGTTTGGAAGCTGCCTCCTTCTCCCTGGCATACCTGCTGAGCTCTCCACTATCTGGGCACAGGCATCGTGACTTTGAATGCAGTACTTCTCAAAGGCAAGATTTCCTTCTTTCAATCAGTCTGCAACTCAGCAACTGGCCTGTGGGATTCCAATCAGAAATTTCAGCTGCAGCCGCACTCATTTACCCGGCCAGCGCTTGCCTCCAAACCAAAGCCCAGTTTCAGTGGTTAGTTTCCAGGATTTAGCAGCTTACTAGCGGGAGCCGAGGTTTGCGTCTTGGGCTTGCTCCCCAGCATCAGACTCCGGAGGCAAAGACTGCTTCAGCGAGGCTTTGTGAGCTGGCTGCCGCCCAGGCTATTGCATCTTCCCGCTGGTCATAGCTGCTTTCTGCTCCCTGTTGCTTCAGGTGATATGGTTAAAGGCGCCGGGGGTGCCTGAGGGCCATGCTTCTCCCTGGTTCAGTCATCTGGGTAAGGGCAGCGGGCACATACTTTGCCTGCTCCGGGACACCTGGCTGTTTGTGCGACAGTTTGGCAGGTCATTTTCGTTTGCATAGGCTTCACGTGGGCCACTGGCGCGTCGGCCAGAGCCCTAGGTGACGGCTAGCAAAGTAATTTTGTTCAACGTTTTCCGTTGGATGCGTCAGTATGACCCTTAACACTAATATGTCCCTGTACGGGTCAATTCACTGTCTGCCCTAAATGCGAAAACAGAAGTGATTGCCATGGGCTTGCTGTTAGAATTTGATGCCGTGTCATGCATTTTGTGTTTGTGATGTTTTTGGAATACGTAGTCTTATTCGATGCTTAATCTGACTGTGGTCGTATGAAAGGATTGAAAAGGGGCTTGCAGCTTGCATAGCTGTAGGCAAGTTCAGCGCAGGTTGCAACTAAGTCCTGTTAATCGGGGACTCGATCATGGACTCTGTAGCGGTCATGTTTGCATTGATCATTCATGATGAGGGCAAGACTTGGTTAGGTAGGCTGCATCAAAAATTGCCTGACTCACGGGTCCATATGCGGGTTGAGACTTGAGAGCAAAGCAAAGTCAAGGCCACTCTATTCTAAGGTTGCGGGGTTGCTGGTCAGTTGGGAACTGAGCGTCTGCCTTTGGAACGTTGGGAGGTGGCCTTCATGTCTGAGCTGCTGCCTGAAGATCGAAAGGCATTGGTCATTGGTCATTGCAAGTATCACTTGGCCAATCTAAGTCCAATAGCTGAGCTCAAGCTAGATCGGGATGGTGATCAGAGAAAAGTCTTGTCGAGGGAAATACTTGTGCACCAGGATTTTGCGGTGTCTACCTAGACATGAGCTACTGTCAATAGTAGCGTCACCAATGGAATTCCAGAGGTGGACAGTAGGTTCCCTATGATACCTTACGAGCCTCTTGCCACGGACTCCGAAACAGGAAAGACAGGAACGCACTCCAGTTCTAAAGTTTGGACGACTATTGCCGAGCGTCGGCTGAGCTTCTGCGCACATACTGGCCAGCCAGCAAGAATGCACCAATTCATCGTCGTCGGTTGGTTGCGATGAGTTTCAGGACCGCAGCGTCCTGCGCTACCATTCCATAATGCTGCCAGTCATGCTTTCGCCGCCGCAGCAGCCGGAATTACGTCAAAAGAAAACCGATTTCAGCGAACAACAGGGCAGGGCTACAGCGGTGGGCTGCGGGCTGGCATGTCAGTGCTGTCGCTCATGTGTTGGAGGCTGCAACCGGACTTCAAGCGCTGGAACAACCGGCACCTGCCCGGTCCCTGCGGCCCAACCTTCCCACAAACACGTTCTCTACGAATGGCGTGAAATCGGCGGGGTAGCGGGTAGAGCTCAGCCAGCTTCTTTGCATGTGCCTCCATACGGAAAGTCAGCCGGGAAGGCTCTCCTGTGACCATCCAACACATCCCTACTGTCGGCGGATTAGATATGATCTTCTGAAATGAGTGCACAGGAGGAACCTTGCACCATCCCCAGATAGCAACATGATTCTTGGAATGTTTGAACAAATCTGGAAAATTCAGAGACTTGCATGGATTTTGACACTCTGGGCTTCTGGCTGCAAACATGTTTGTGCCACTTGGAGGTCTTGGGAGTCTATCCAGTCTGGTTATTCTACGTGAGCTACTCAGGCATGAAGACGTTGTGAGACTTGAGAGTCTGAGCGCCCAGAGAAGCACATGTCAAAGTGCCATAAGAGGCCTTTTTAAGAAGAGCAGCTCAGAGTTTATCCAAGCGTGAAGTGCCAAGCGTGCCGAGGTTGCCATTGCTTGGCTCATATTGATCTCGTGAGCTTCGGCACTTCTTCTCTTTCTGAGGGAGGCTCACCATGCAGAGTGGCTCTAAGTGCTTGGAGCTGTGATTGGGAGGTTGAAGTCTAAAGCCCAAGTGGCGTGGAGCCGCACGCTTCTATCCTTCCACGGTCCCAAACTTTGTAAAAGTAAGGAAGATCTTCTGGCTATCGTGGGCATGAAGCGACCGGTCATGCAGCATGCCTGACAACAGAAGCGTTTCACCCAGCGGTCAGGGTGCAGGAACAGTTCGCTGCACCGACGCCATGCAATTAAAAAAAAGGGCGCATTCACTCCACGACATGGCACGCCCAGACAGACAGCCCAGCAGGTTCCAGAACGGAAGCTTCCCTGATGTAGTAGGCAGATGTGGGGAGTATGCAGCTGCTGGGCGTCGTGTGGCTTATTCATCGTACCCCAAGGCCTGCAAAATTATGATCTTGCTGCAGCTTCTAGTTCGCAGTCGACGCCCCCTCACGGTATTTGGTACATACATTAATCAAGGTGTCACCGGGCCAGCTTCTTTACTCCAAGGGCCTAGTGTTTAGAGATGCTGATGCTGTTTGAGATGCTTGATAGACTCATGCTGACGCCTGGATGTATTCCTGGCCCGCTGCACGGCCGAGCAGCCAAGCTTCCACGAGGCAACCGGGAACGTAGGACGCATGAGGTACACGAAAATTTTCCCTACTTGCATTTGGGTGGAAAACTGCGGCTATCATTTGCAGGCCATGCTATTTGCTGACTTCTTCTCCGCGCTTCCTATGGAGGTGGGGTTGAGCAGCTTTTCAATTTCAGCAGTTTGCGTCCGCGTCCTGCTGCCTCCCGCGCACACGCAGAAGCTGGCTACAGCTAGTGACCCGCCGTGCTCGTGACCGTTTGGCACGCCTGTAGAAAAGAGCCTCTGCAGCATCCTCCACCATCTTTTGAGCTAAGACACACATTCTTCGAGGCCTTGTGAATTTATCGTATCATGCATTTCAAGGCAAACAAGGTTGCGTTCGCTCAGCCAAGTCTCGCCAGGCACTCTTTGCGTGCCGGCCCGTTGATCACGCCAGAGGCTGGATTGCACTGCACTCTCACATCAGAGCTCCTGTGAGAGACTGACCTGGTACAGTTTCCTTGCCTCTGGCAAAGCCTTGCATGTAGGTCCGGCGGCTGAACAGTGCAGAGGCATGTTACCTGCAGAGTGCTTTGAAGCATAGATGCATTCCAGGCTAGCAGTCACTGCTGTCAGCATGGCGTCATGACATTCGCCGTGAGGAGGTGCTGAGCTACTTCCAGAGCCTGTCGAAGCCAGACGTTACCCAGCAGGCGCCTTCTGTTCCCATGAGCCCGCAACTTCTTCGTGCTTTGAAGTGCTGCAAGCCATACACTGAAGACTGAGACAGCTTTCACTTTGGTTCCGGCATCAGGCACTGGCCTGTCTGCTGCGCCTGGGAGCCTTGTCAAAACGACGTGGGTTGCAGGACTGAGGCGTCATGCCTTCAGGTGAAAAGCTGCAGAGTTGTTGTGGAAAGTAGGCGTGAGATGTATTGCTACGGCCTGTGATTTGTGGCAGGACTTCGAATTCGACAGCCTGTTTACGGTTTTGACGCAGCAATCAAAGCAGGCCATGCGCTCAATGTGTTGACCAGAATCCATCACTAGACTACATGGATGCCGGGCCGGTGCACAGGTCCTGCAAGGCCCACGCGCTTTGGGCGCGGTGCTGGTGGCTCTGGCACGACTGCGCGGCGGGCGACGCGCTGCATGCCAAGAGGCGAGCGACTATAACCATCCAGTATTTGTAGTGTTATCTACAAAACTCTTCCAGCCTGCCTTTGGCTGCGCCAATTGGGACCCTAGTTCCTGAACCCTAAACCGGATTTTAAACCAGGGCACCCATTTTTAAAGCCCAAAGGGGATAATACCGGGGTATATAGGGAATGGAAAAGAAAATGGAAACTACTACATTATTTGAGCTTTAGCCCTGAGTTTAGGGCTGACAATACTACGCTTGTATAGCCCTGTATCCCCCCACCTTCCCCATGTCATTTCTCTTCCATCCCTGAGGTAGTATTCCTATACATCCCCTATATTTCTCCTGCATTCCCTTACATAAGCCCTGTACAATTCCATTTGACGCTTCACATTATCCCTCTGGAACCCTGAAATCATCCCTATATTATCCCTACAACCCCTACCCTAAAGCCACAAACCTTAAACTCTAGGCCCTGCATTCTCCTTCTAACCCTTACATTATCCCCATGTAGTGTCCAGGAGCTCCGGCGACACTGCCTTGCACAGGCAGCCTCGCAGCGTGGCGCCGGGCCGCGCGCAGCGCGCTTAGCGTGCTGGGGGGGGTTTCAGAAATTAGGGTCCGTATATTGAGGGGTAGTATAGTTTGACAATAAAGTGTGAACAAAAGAGAGTTTGCATTCATAATAAGTACATGTATTATTGTACATCTATATATACATATGTGCATATACATATGAATGGAAATGAGATAGTATTGGCAGGGAGAGGGTCGGAACGTTCCGGCAACCAGGCTCCACACGTTCCCAAAGATTTTTCAACGAGATGATCAAAACGGTGATGCAAATAATGAAGATTACCACGATTAGTATTATGACTATTACTAGTACGAATTATAATGATTACTTGTACTATTATTCCTTACTATTCTTTAGTATTATTACGAATTCGATGGCAAGGATCTGGCAAATTTTGCCTGGGCCGCGGCTACTCTCAGCGAGCAAGGTGCGAGCAGCTGCTGCTACTGATATTGCAGTACTGACACGCTGCTACTGCGCTGCTATTGCGCTGCTACTACAGTGACTTCCCACATTAAAACGTCGTTTCAGTATAGCTACTGCTACATGCTGCTACTGCATGCTGCTGCTACTGTTAATGCTGCTGCTGCTGCTGCCGCTGCTGCCGCCGCCGCCGCCGCTGCTGCTGCTGCTGCTGCTCTCACCTGTTTTTCGGTTGCCAGCGAGGTGTCCGTGAAGCCCCTAAGTTCATGTCTCACAAGTGGCCGGGCTGGATGGCCAGTTTGTGAAATTGCAGATCCCTTCCATGGCCTGCGCGCATTTGTCTCCTACTGGAGGCAAAATCTCTGGTGTGATAGACCCACGCCATGTTCCAGGTGCAGCTGTGCTGCGCCGCGTGGCCTGCGACGCCCTGGCTGGCAGGCAAGGAGTCGGCATTTTCCTGTTGGGTACAAGTATGAACCATACAAAACGTCCCGAAGAGGCTACATGATAGTTCCAGAATGTTGTCGATCCAATGAAATTCATGAATATCACAATTCGTTGTGTGTTTCCACTTATTGAACGTCATGCTACACTTTGTTGCTGATGTGCTGAGATGAGGTCACCACTCACGGGGATCTTTTAGGTTGGCCCCCGACCCATTAACAGGGACCACCAAGGACAATGGTAATTTTGTTGGGGTCCCTACATATTCCCAATATGTCACTGTTAGTGGTTGGTGGCCTAACCCAAGGGATTTTTAGGCTTCCCCAATAAATCCCTAGCAGGCCACCCTCATTAAAGCCGGGCTTCGAGCCGTTAGACCTGGCAAGGAGCCCAGCATACAGATACTTGAGGGATTAGGCGGTTTCAGTATGGTTTTGGGGAGTATACACTGTAGAGGGTGGCTGGGGAATGTTGGTGAGTACATGTAGTATACGTATATATCTCGTCTCCAGTTGGGTTCCAGAAATCAGTGCTGAGAGGCATTGAGAGGCTTAGGGCGAACACATGATTGCCCCCAAGGACGTGTTCTGAACCATGTCACTGTTGCCGTGCAAACGTGAGAGCAGTACCGAGGCCCAGCTCTGCTGGTCCATGGGAAAGATCAGCGAGGCCACAGAGGTTTTATTTAAACTGCTTGAAGAGCTTCGGAAAGCAAGCTTGGAAGGGAACGGCTGCTCGATCAGGGGCCGGCACCCCTGGCCGAAGCTCTCTTCGCGGCTGCGGAGCGACGTCATGCCGAGCTTGCACCACAGGCAGGCAGCACATGCTGATGTACGGCATAAGCGCAAAGCGCAAGATAAGCTCATCAGCTACAGGATTGGGCAGAGCATGGATTTTGCGGCGCGACAGCACTGTTACTGTGCTCTGGATGATTGCCGTGCTCTGGAAGACAGTATCTCTGAAAGTAGTGTAGAGCCCTCCGAGAAGTCTCGAAACTATGTTGTGTGACGTTTTGGCGGAGGGTTGGGCCAATGTGGCCTGGGCTGCTGCGCGCCTTTTCCTTCAAGGCATGCCAGCGACGACATGGATTGCTTTGAACTTGTATCCCCACTAGGGCAGGAGTGCTCTGCAACGGCAACTGGCGCTGTTCCTTTGGCAACTCCCAGACATTCCCCACAAAACCCGTGCATGGTCGCAAGCGGCAAGGGATCTTGAACTCTACGCCCTAATTCAAAAAAGAACAGAAGTTCTGACATGAAGCACCACACAACACCCAACATCCTCAACCTCAAATTCATCAAGCCCCAAGTTTTAGCTGCAAAGCTCAATTTGAAAAACGCAACTTAAACAATGTTCAGGACCTCCTGCTGCTGCAAGTTGCGCGTGGCAGATGATTGCAGCTGCTGCCGCAGGGCTGTGCTCCTTGCCCGGTTCAGGTCGATGACGCGGCGTGTATAAACCACTGGAGCCTCATCTTCTTAACCTCAAAATACTAGAGGTCATATTTTGAAGTGTGCCAAATGGAGGGGCTTTTCCTTTATTCTCACTTTGGAGACCTACACGGATTGACGGTCATGGTTCCTTTGAAATGCAGATGCTACGGATGAGGAGTCCGGATGCGTGCGCGACCAAGTGGCTTTAGAGCATCCAACGAGAATCCGTTGGCCGGGGAAGGGGTCCTAGAAGGTTTGGAGACGGCATCCGGTACAGATTGGCTAGGAGGCTAGTTCATACCAGGTCGGGATTTTTGTGCTTTGCCGAGTTTGCTCTTTGAGGTTCCAGCCCTGAGACCTTCGCTGTGCAGAACATGTCGAAT